GTCCCATGGTTAGCTGGACGACTGCTGGTCATTGTCTGTGGCAGCTTGTCTGTCCAACATCTCAGCTGTGCCTGGGTCACTTCCTTGCTCTTAGAAAACCTCTTCCTACAACAGAGACAACAATTTCAGGGCTGGATTTCAGATATCATTCATTTGCTGGGGTTTCATCTGCAGTTAATCTCTCGCCAGCTGAAATGGCAGGTTCTACAAGGGATAACCGCTTTGACCTCACAGAACTCGACAGCAGTTATGTCTCAGCCACTGCTCTGTTGCTCCCTCCCTGGGGGCAAGTTCTTCCAGGCTATGTGGAGAGCTGCAGCTTAGCGTACAGCCTGCGTGGTGAGTCTTGTGTACTCACTCGAAAGAAAAACCTGGCCCATCAATGGTGACATGTACTCGGCCAATGTTTCCCTGACTGACATCCACGGCCTATATGAAATTCTTACTCAGCCCAGAATGGCAGATGTGGTGACAACATTGTTCCCACAGATAGTCAGTGGCCTATGTGTATCTCTCACCAGTTGGGTGAGTTTCTCTCTGCCCAATGATTTGGAATTTGAATCACAGCAGAGAGGTTTCACAAATAAGTTTGATGTTGATACAAGTCAGTCACTGAATGAAAAGTGTGTGAGGTCACTTGAGGCCCTTTTTGATCAGGTCGGTTGAAGTGACATCTGTGATAAAATGGTGATGGTAGGAGGATCCAACAGCGAGTAAGGGTTGCATTTGATCAGTGGGTTGTTCTGCTGGCCAGAGCAATGACTGCATCTGACAGTGATGATTTGTGTGACACTGTTCATCAACTATTGTCAGACAGTCCCTATGATAATCTCATTTGGGAAACTCCTGAAAGCCTTGTGTGTTTCAGATCTGGGTCTCAGAGACACTGTGACTAACAGCTTGATCCAATACCTGTGCTGGTAAGACTCCTCACCTATTACCCAACTGCTCTGTGTCAGAACTTTAGAAAACATTATCTTTGGAGTGAGATGACACCATTGGAGTATGACAGATGTACTGGTGAGTCTGTTGGGGAATAAAGAGAACACCAATGTTTTCACTTTGCTGTGTTGTCTTACCTGCGAAAAAACATTCTTCAGGCACCAGCAGAAACAATCAAGCCCCTTTTACACTCAATCTTCACCAGGATTCAGTCACTTTTTGGGCCAGGTAGTGAGCACGTCTCAGTGGAAGCCTTCCAAATGGAGGGAATATTGGCCAAGTTTGGGGAGTCTGGTAACTTCCAGCAACAGATGCATGCTAACATCATGTGCTTGCTGTTGCACTTGGGCAGTAAGACTGAGAAAATCATCCAATCTTGTAGTGTAACACTGCAGATGTTCTTCTCATTCACTGAATCTACAAAGGCTTGCTCCTTAATTGAAGAGTATCTGGAGGAACCAAGCTGGAGTTACCTGGACTTTCTGTGATGCATTTCACGTCAACCCGTTTATCAGGACCCCAACATGGTGGATTCTTACATCTAGGACTGTGTGTCTTTCATTTCCAACCATGACCAACTCCACGATCATGCAGTGGTCCTGGCAACATTACTAATGAAGTAGACACATCGGTTCTGACTCACCTGACGGACCTCCTGGTGCAAAATGTTAATTGGCAATTGCAGCTGTCCCGCACCCAAATGAGGTCTCAGCACATCAGGTTCTGAATATGGTCCAGACCCTTGTCTTCCTAACACAAAGTAATCTGCTCCAAATGCTCAGCTTCAAAATATGAACAGATCTTCTGAATATCAGTGTATGTGTAATACCAATGGATCTTCTCAGCTTCATCACAACATTTGATGTCCATCAGACCCTTAACTTTCTAACAGCATCTCACTTCTGTAAGAGCCTTGCCATTCTAACACCAAGTGCTCTCCCAGGTCTTAAATTTTGCATCACCATTGATCTCCTCCAGATCGTGGACACTGTAACAAAAATTGATCTTCTCCAGATCCTCACTCCTCGAGCAGAAACTGTTCAAAAATCATATACCTTTTCATAATACTGGTTGATCTCATCCAGAGCCTCCCGTTCATAAAAGCAATTGACCATTCTCCAGTTATATTTGTATGTATTGTAAGGAAATAATTTTATTGCAAACAAATATTCTGCTTCAATGTAAAAGATACTGTGGCAATATTGTTGGGTCTGCATGTGTCACATAAATGCACTCACCTTCTGGGAGTGGAGACTGCTGGACCATCAGGGTCATCTCTTCCTGGGCAGCAGATGAAGAGTGGGCAAGGTTCAAGGTCTTCACTCACCTTCTGGGAGTGGAGCTGAGGGAGACACCTCCAGAGACTCATCGACCCCACCGGAATTCATAAAGGCTGACAAAAGTGAATTTAGCACAAAACAGGGAGCTGATTGGTAGTCATTACATTGTTTTCTCCACTTTAAAGAGATAGTAAGAAAATGTAAAAGTTGTAGCTTTTATTTAAATAAAATTTTCAGATTTAATTTTTTTTTACTTGTCTGACTAAGAATGTTTTGAATAAGGGTACCTCAGGGGAGCTCAGTTTCATTGGTGGTGGTCCCTGCAGGATACGGGAAATCGTATGCTCCTGGCAGTATGGATAATCACATCTGTAGAAAGTAGCACTGGTTTGATCAGCTTGAGAACAGGGTTTCAGAGCTTTGACTGAAGACAGAGCAGTGATCTGCCAGGCTGAGAATTTTGTGGATGGTACATTCTTGGACATGGTCATCTGGCAACTTAAAGAACTGTTTCTGACTGATGGTGACCACTGGTCAGAAGAAGGGAGGAAATCAGAGATTCAGGAAAGCCCTGGAGTGCAGATTTTCTGTGTCGGAAAACAGCGAGCGTGATGGGTCCTCTGGGAAGTGCAGCCAGAGCGAAGCTGCACAAGGTGGGGAGCAGAGAGGGAGAACCATAGTGGCAGGAAACTCAATCATGAGGAGGACTCACAGGTATTCTGCAGCCACAGATGTCACCTCAGAATGGTGACTTGCCGTCCTGTGGCCACAGTCAAGAATTTCACTGAATGCTACATAGCGTTCTGAAGAGGGAGGTGAACAGTCAGAAGCGGTTCAAATTGGTACCAACGACAACAGTAAGAAGAGGGAAGAATAAGAACATAAAGAGTTACGTTGCAGATTAAGAAAGCAGGACCTCAAAGGGTGCCATCCCGGGATTACTCCCAGTATCACATGCTGGTGAATACTGGAACAGGCGGATAGACCAGATGAATGTGCTGGAGTAGAAACAGGGCTTTAGATTTCTGGATGACTGGGTCCATTTCTTGGGATGGCAGGGCATATACAAGCCTGCTGGTTTGTACCTGATCCACAACGGGGCTATCATCCTTCTGGGGAGATTTACTAGTGCGCTTTTGGTGCGGGTTTAAACTAACTTGGCAGCAAGATGAGATTGCACAGTAGGGTGTGATGCGCAGAGAAGCATTGAAGAAGGACTAAGTCAGTGTAGCAAAAATGCATGAGTCGACACTGTTGATTAGCACATGGGATACAATACTGTTGCTAGAATGGAGACTTGGTGGAGGGAGTGGCAGACTGGCAACAATATTCCATGTTATAGAAGCTTCAGGCCAGCAGGCAAGGTGCAAGAGGCAGTGTTGCAATATTGATCAAGGGATCAATTACTGCAATAGACAAGGATGACATCTTTGAGGACACCTCAAATGAGACCATGTGGGTAGAACTTTAAAACAAAAATGAAGCAATCACATTGCTGGCGCACTGTATACCCCCAAATAATCAAAAAGAGATGGGAAGACTGATACATAAACTAATCTCACAAAAGTGTAAAAACAGGGCAAGGCTTATACACTTAATGGTAAGATCCTGGCAAGTGTTGCTAAACAAAGGGACCTTGGAGTGCAGGTTCATAGTTCCTTGAAAGTGGAGTCTCAGGTAAATAGGATAGTGAAGAAGGCATTTGGTATGCCTGCCTTTATTGGACTGTGCATCTAGTATGGGAGTTGGGAGGTCATGCTGGGGCTGTACAGGACATTGGTTAAGCCACTTTTGGAATACTCTATGCAATTCTAGTCAACCTGCTATAGGAAGGATGTTTTGAAACTTGAAAGGGTTCAGAAAACATTTACAAGGATGTTGCCAGCTAAGAGAGAGGCTGAATAGGCTGGGCATCGAAGGCTGAGGGGTGACCTTATAGAGCTCTTTAAATTCATGAGGGGCATCGACAGGGTAAATAGATAAGGTCTTTTCCCGGGGTGGGGGAGTCTAAAACTAGAGGGCTTAGGTTTAAGGTGATCGGGGAAAAATTTAAAAGGGACCTAAGAGGCAACCTTTTCACACAGAGGAGGTGCGTATATGGGATAAGCTGCCACAGGAAGATGTGGAAGCTGGTACAATTACAACATTTACAAGGTATCTGGATGGGTATATGAATAGGAAGGGTTCAGACAGACATGGGCCAAATGCTGGCAAATGAGACTAAATTTATCAAGGATATCTGGTTGGCATGTACGATTTAGACTGAAGGGTCTATTTTCACACTGTACATCTCTATGACTGTATAACATTAGGGTAATAAGAGTAGGGGATTTCAATTAACCCAACATTATGTGGGATAAACAAAATGTGAAAGGCACAAAGGTGGCAGAATTCTTAAAATGTGGACAGGAAGGCTCTATGAGCAGGAGGTTTAGCAGGGATTTGAGGAAATATTTTTCATCCCAAGTCTGGTGGGTGTCTGGAACTCATTATCTAAAAGATGGGAACGCTCAAAACATTTATCAAATATTCAGATAAGCACTTGAATTGCCACAGCATATAAGGCTACACGTCAAATACTGAAAAATGGGATTTGAACAGCCACAAGCATGATGGGCTGAAGCGTCTCTTTCCATTCTGTAAAAACTCAATGTATCAGTGAAATGAATCAGTGCAGTAATTCACACAGACAGCAATGAAGTGAATCACTGCAGGAATTCACATTGAGAGCAGTGAAGAGATCAGTGCAGGAATCCACACAGACAGCAGTGAAGAGAATCAAGGCAAAAGACATACCTTTTATTTACAGAGCCAGCTGCTCAAGGTAGAGGTCCAGGGTGAATGTTAAGATATAAATGGGTCAATACGTGAATGGTTGAGAGTTAGGGTGGGTAGATGGTGAAGTAACTAGGTAAGTAGATGGGGCGAGTGTAGTCAGTATGTCAAGTGACAGTTGGGGAGGGTAGGAGAATGTACAGGTAGGTTAGGTGTTACTCAGGTCAGGAAGGGTTGTTGGGATGGGAGTTCAATCTGATTGAGGTGATCGGGTGTTTGGGATGGTCAGGTTGGGTCTAGGGAGGCGGCCGGTCAGGTCAGGCCATGCAGTTGTCCGGCCAAGAGTCAGAGGTGACAGGGATCTGTTGGCAACAGTCAATGGGTCAGAGGTTAGTTTGGGGGTTACGGTTTAAAATCTCCTGGGCAACTATCAAGTTAAATGTTATACCTCACTGGGATAGCACACTGCAAATCAAGCCCCACTACTCTTGGAGACATCAAAAAAATTAAAAGATATTAAAAAGTACACAAAATTCTCCAATTTACCTGCGTTTTAGACCCAAGCAAACAGAAAACACTGACTAAGTTTCTGTACTTAATAAGAATGTCTACGTATTACAAGTAAATAGATTCTAGCTACAGGTCGACAATTAGGAGCTTCTGGCATATAACTGTACTAGTTAAAACTCTTAATACCCTTTCAAACTCCCCTTTACACCCAGACACAGGGGTAAAAAAGTAACAGTGGTTCCCGTTCATCACGTGCAGAGATGATTCTTGTGAATCTTGGTCAGAAAGCTGTCTCTTGGTCTTGTTTCGCCAGATGCTTTCACTAGTTTGCAGGTGACACAGGAACCAATTCATCTTTTTAAAAAATCTCAAACTGATTAATTAAAAACAATCATTTACAGCAACTGCTGAAGCAAAATTAAACTAGGTATTCTTCAGGTTTATAGTAGGTTTTGTTGCAGACAACAGAAACAGTTCCTAAACTCCAAGCTGCCTCAAGCTGTTCAGTTACTTGAGAACAAATCACAGTTGTTGGCAGGCAGAAGCCTTGGTCAGCAATAACTGTTCACTGCTCCACAACCCAATCAGCTACTAACTGCCAAAACTCCATTGTACACAACTCTCTGGTTCCAACTTGCCTGCAAAGTACATTTCAGATACTGCTGGAACCAGATGCCTGCAATGAGAGTCAGGTTACTTGCTTTCAAAACATTCAACAATCCCCCAGCAAACCTTGTTTTAGAACAGTTCTTTTCTCATCTCAGACCACAATTAAAAATACAGAAGAATAAAATGACACAAAATTTATATGAGTATATTGGAACTGAGCAAAGTCTCTGACACTAATTCAGACTTGGGAGACTTTTTTTAGTCATTTTCCCCATTGGACTTTGAAACTTCTCAGGAAATTTCCATCAAGTCAGTATGTCGGAAGTTGCAAGGGGGTTCATTGAACATTTTATGCTTTATGACCAGTTTCTGATGACCTCGAGATTAGAAGATCTGGATCAATGTTTCCATTGGGTTGTTGCCTCCTAAAGCACGTTACTTCTTGTTGAATCTGGAATATTTCATACTGTGTACCAGCATCAACTTCCTTCTTAGACAATTCAGCACTCGACTGCATGTCATTGATGTACATCTGCTTCCCTTGCTTGTACTTCACTTCCCAGCGATATCTCTGTACATTAAGTAACATACTTTGCGAGGCACAATAACCAGAGCACAATAATCAGATTCAATCTATGTACAGTATTGTTTAGCTTGTGTTAACTCTCTGGATAGAAACACAACTGGTTGTCTTCACTGCATGGGGGTTGGCCTAAGTCCTGTTTCACTGGCAGGGTGACTCTACTGTTGACAACATAGTCCCTCAGCACTGGTGTTGTTGTCACTAGTTGTCTGATGGGAGTGAAAGCTGTTTCTTGTTCTGTGTCCCAGTCCCACTGAACACCCTGCACAGTGAGTTTGTGTACAGTTATTTTTAATTCACTCATGGGACATTGGCATAGTTGTTATTGTTTGCCCCTAGTTGCCCTTGAAAAGTGGTGGCGAGGTGCCATCTTGAACTACTGCAGTCTTTGTTCTGTAGGTAGATCAACAATGCCCTTAGGAAGGGAATTCATATTGTGATGACAGAATGGCAAATACTTGGGTATATGGTTCCCATGTGGGTCTGCTGATATTCTGAGAGATAAAACAACTGTGTGGAGGCTTCATTACAGAACATACACCAACAGGGTTCCTACCCTGCATTCGTGTGTTGATGGACCAGGAAAAATGCTACGTGAAAGCCTTGTCACAAAAGTTGCATCAAAGCATTTCTCTCCTGTGTGTATCTTGTAATGTTCTAGATCATCAAAGATATTAGGAAAGGCTTATCACAAACTTTTTACTCCCCTGTGTGAATCCTCTGGTGGAACAAGAGGTTCCAGGACCGTGAGAATGATTTGCTGCATACATTGCACATGAAAGGTTTCTCCCCTGTGTGGATGCATTGGTGCCTGTGAAGGCTTTCTGACTGTGAGAACGATTTGTCACACACTTCGCACTTGAAAGGTTTGCGCTCTGTGTGGATGCGTTGGTGTGTGCGCAGGATCCCTGACTGAGAGAACGATTTGTCACATACTTCACAGGTGAATGGTTTCTCCCCAGTATGAATGTGATGGTGTGTGCGGAGGGTTGATGATGACGAAAACGATTTATTGCAAACTTCACAAGTGAATGGTTTCTCGCCTGTGTGAATTCTCTTATGAAGCAGCAGGTTGCATGACCTTGAGAACGATTTGTTGCACACATCACATATGAATGGTTTCTCTCCTGTATGAATACGTTGATGTCTGCAGAGGTATGATGAATCTGAGAATGATTTGAAACATACTTCACACGTGAATGGTTTCTCCCCTGTATGTATGCGTTGGTGTTTGTGGAGTGTTGATGACACTGAGAATGATTTGTCACATACTTCGCACGTGAATGGTTTCTCTCCTGTGTGAATCCTCTGATGGAGCAAGAGACCTGATGTATCAGAGAATGATTTGTCACAAACCTTGCACATGAATGGCTTCTCCCCTGTGTGAATGCGTTGGTGTATGCGGAGCTGTCCTGACTGTGCAAATTTTTTGTCACACACATCACATGTGAATGGTTTCTCCCCTGTGTGGACACGTTCATGTGTGCGCAGGTTCTCTGACTGAGAGAATACTTTGTCACACACCTTGCATCTGAAAGGTTTCTCCCCTGTGTGGATGCGTTGATGCACACGGAGGTGTGAGGACACGGCGAATGATTTATCACATACCTCACACGTGAATGGTTTCTCCCCCGTGTGAATCCTCTGATGGCGCAAGAGTCTCGATGAGTCAGAGAATGATTTGTCACAGACCTTGCACTTGAACAGTTTCTCACCTGTGTGGATGCGTTGGTGTCTGCAGAGGTTCTCTGACTGTGAAAATGATTTCTCACACACCTCACACCTGAATGGTTTCTCCCCTGTGTGAATTCGTTGGTGTTTGCGCAAGGTTGATGACTGGGAGAATGATTTGATACACACTTCACACGTGAACGGCTTTTCCCCTGTGTGAATAAGTTGGTGCACAAGGAGCTTCGATGACTGCAGGAATGATTTGTTGCATATCTCACATAAGAATGATTTTTTCCCCATGTGAATGCGCCGGTGATTCACCAGGCCTGATAATTGTGCAAAGCCCTTGTCACAAACCTCACATTTAAATAGCTTCTCCCCAGTGTGAATGTGTTGCTGATTCATGAGCATTGATGATTGTGTGAAGTTTCACGAATACAGCTCACTCTTGAACTCTCCCCTGCAGGAATGAGTCAGTGGATCATGAGGCTTAATGAATGACTGGAGCTCTCACCACACTTGGAACCCACTCTCATTATCTCCCAGCCTCACCCTGACTGATCACCCAAAGCCAAACCTTCGGAGAGGTTGGTTTTGATGGAAGGCTCCACACCACCAACCAGTTTTAGATCTGGAGATACGTTAACGCTCCCTTGACCCAGCTGATTTCCAGATGATGGTTTCACTGCCCAACCTTCTCTCTGTTGAGCAATGCTGTGATGGGACTGGATATCTTCCCACAGTTTTGCAGTTCTTCCTTGGGGGATGGTCAGGATCTATCTGTGATGTCTACCCTCTCTGAATTCTCTGAAGTAGTACAGTGCAATCCTTCTGTAAAACAGGAAAAGGAAACATGATTTCCCGCAACTCCCTCTACTCCTTTCTCGAGGGAATGATTCCTCAGTAATTTATTTAATTCATTTTTTCATTGGATGTGTGTTTCTGTGTAAATCATCATTCGTTTCCATCTCTAATTGCCTGAAGAGGAGGTGCTAAGCCGTCTTCATCGACCACTGCTATTCATGGTGGTGTAGGGACATCCACAACACTGTTAGGAATGGACTTTAAGGATTTTGGACAGGTGGCAGTGTAACAATGGCAACACAGTTTCATGACAGACTGTGCAGCTTGAAGAGAAGTTGGCAGGTGGTGATGTTCCTTTGCATTTACAAACAAGAACCAGGAGCTGCTGTAAGCCATTCAGCCCCCTAACCTTACAAGAGTAGTAATTTCTGGACTACTTCCAGTACCACGTGTTAGCGAGAGTAAGAATAGGAGGATTTGGCAGATGAATGCCTGGCTTAAGAGCAGGTGGCAGGGATTAAGAGATCACTGGGATCTCTTCTGGAGCAGAGGTGACCTGTACAAAAGGAAGGTGTTGTACCTGAACTGGAAGGGGACCAATATCCTGGAAAGGAGATTTGCTAGAGCCACTTGGGAGGCTTACTAGTCTGGCAGTGGGGGGGTGATCCAATGCAGTAGGGAGACAAAAGCAAAAGCTGAGGACAGTGCAGAGGTTAATGACAGCAAGTTAAATAGTAAAGGCAGTGTTGGCAATCCATGTACTAGTCAGGGCAGGCAAGAGCATCAGAGCAGGCAAGGGAAGTCTGGGTTAAACTGCACTCAATGCAAGAGGCTGATAGGTAAGGCAAATGAACTCAGTGCATGAACAGGTACATGTGATTGGGATATTATCACTATTACAGAAACCTTTCTGAGGGAGGGACAGGATTGGCAGCTCAATGTTCCAGGCACAGATGCTATAGGAAGGATGGGGGGGGGGGGGGCAAGCTAGGGGGGGATAGTTGCGTTTTTGATTAGGGAGGACATCACGGCACTGAGAGAAGACATTCTTGAGGGTTCATTCACTGAGTCTATATGGTTAGAACTGAGAAATAAAAAGCAGACGATTACTTTGATAGCATTATACAATAGGACCCAACAGTCAGCAGAGATCGAGGAGAAAATATGTAAGGAGTTTGCAGATAGCTGCAAGATTAATAGGGTTGTAATCTAAGGGAATTTAAACTTTCCTCACATTGACTGAGACTGTCATAGTGTTAACGACTTGGATGGAGAGAAATATGTTAAGTATGCTCAGGAAGAATTTCTCATGCAGTATGTCGATGGCTCTACTGGAGAAGGGGCATAACTTGACTTCCTCTTGGGCAGAGCAAGTGACGGAAGTGTTAGTTGGGGAGCACTTTAGGACCAGTGACCATAATTCCACTGGTTTTAAAAATAGCTGTGGAAAAGGATAGGTCTGATCTACAGTTAGAGTTCTAAATTGGGGTAAGGCCAATTTTGATTTTCTTAGACAGGAACTTCCAAAAATTGATTGGGGGAGGCTGTTTGCAGGCAAAGGAATGTCTGCTAGTTGGGAGACTTTCAAAAGTGAGTTTATGAGGGTTCAGGGCCAGCATGTTCCTATTAGAGTGAAGGATATGGCTAGCAGGAGTAGGCAACTCTGGATGATTAGAGTTATTGAGACACGTATTAAAAAAGGAGGCATATGACATGTATAGACAACTGGGGTCAAGTGGATTCCTTAAAAAGTACAGAGGGTGTTGGAGTACACTTAAGAGAGAGATCAGAAGGGCTAAAAGGGGACACAAGATGGCTTTGGCAGATAAGATAAAGGAGAATCCAAAGAGGTTCTACAAGTACATGAAGGGCAGAAGAGTAACTAGGGAGAATAGTGCCTATTCAAGATCAACAAGGTTATCTATGTGCAGTGCCACAAGAGATGGGTGAGATCTTAAATTAATATTTCTCATCAGAATTTACTGTCAAGAAAGGTGTGGATGCGAGGGAACTTGGGGAAATAAACAGTGATGTCTTAAAAAGTGCCCAAATTACAGAAGAGATGATACTGGAAGTCTTCAAACTGATTAAGGTAGATAAATTCCCACGACCTGATGAAGTGTATCCCAGGACTATGGGAGGCTAGGGAGGAAATTGCGGGGACTCTAGCAGAGATATTTGTATCATCGACAGCCACTGGTGAAGTGCCTGGAGATTGGAGGGTGGCGAATATTGTACGATTATTTAGGAAAGACTGCAAGGAATTGCCTGGGAACTACAGACTGGTGAGCTTAATGTCCACGGTGGGTAAATTGTTATGGGGGGTTCTGACAGACAGGATCTACTAGCAGTTGGAGAGGCAAGGACTCATTTGAGATAGTCAACATGGCTTTGTGCGTGAGAAATCATGTCTCATAAACTTGATTGACTTTTTTGAAGGGGTGACCAAGAAAGTAGATGAACAGGGACTTTAGCGAGGCCTCTGACAAGGTACCACACGGTAGGCTGCTGAGTAAGGTTAAATTGCATGGGATCCAGGGATACAAACTGACTTGACGACAGAAGTCGGTGTGGTACATAAAGAAGAAGGAGATACAAAAGAAGACAGTGATGGTAGAGGGTCACTTTTCAGACTGGAGGCCTGTGACCAGTGGTGTGCCACAGGGACCAGTGCTGGGTCCACTGTTATTCATCATTTACATAAATGATTTGGAGGAGAATTTAGGACATACGGTCACTACATTTGCAGATGACACCAAGATTGGTGGTACTGTATAGTGGATAGTGAAGAAGGTTAACTGGGAATGCAGCGAGATCTTGATCAACTGGGCCAGTGAGCTGAGGAATGGCAGATGGAGTATGATTTAGATAAATGCAAAGTGTTGCATTTTGTAAGGCAAACCAGGGCAGGACTTATACACTCAGTTATAAGGCCTTTGGGAGTGTTATAGAACAAAGAGATCTAGGGGTACAGGTTCATAGCTGTTTGAAAATGGAGTCACAGGTAGACAGGGTGATGAAGAAGGCTTTCAGCATGCTTGCTTTCATTGGTCAGAGCACTGAATATAGGAGTTGAGATATTTTGTTGCAGCTGTAAAAGACGTTGGTGAGGCCATGTTTGGAGTACTGTGTGGGGTTCTGGTTATCCTACTATATAGCAGGGATATTATTAAACTAGAAAGAGTGCAGAAAAGATTTACTATGATGCTACCTGGACTGGAAGGTTTGAGGTATAAGGAGAGTTTGGACAGGCTGAGACTTTTTCCCCTGGAGCATAAGAGACTGATAGATGACCTTATAGAGCTCTGTAAAATCATGACAGGCATAGATAAGGTAGATAGCCAACAGTTTTTCAACAGATTGATTTTGGCCTCAACTCAAATACCAAGCTACTCATTGCTGTTCCTTGTCCTTCTAAGTCATAGAATTCATAGGTTTGTAAAGTTTTTTTGAAGGAGTCTTAGTGAGTTACTGCAGTCTATCTTGAAGATGGTACATGCTGCTGCCACAGAGTGGTAGTGGTGGAAGGACTGAAATGCCAATTGTGACAATGCTATGGCTCTAAGAGATGTATTTTATCCATGATTTTTTGTTTGAAGAGAGGTTTTAAGACAGAGGTAATGAGCTATCTATTTGAATCCAATAAAGTAAATTGCTTGTGATGCCTTGGGTATTTTTTAGAAGTTGGAACAATAGAAGTAGCCTGAATAGGTGGGGTCAAGCTCCCACAGAACTGGGGCTTTTTTTAGTTTCAGCTTTCAGCAGTTGCTGGGGTCTTGAAGCTGGATGCGGAAGTTCTTATTCATCTCTCTGTCATATTTAAAAGCTGGAGCTTCTTCCTGCTTTTAGAATTGCATGTGAGACAATATATTTTAGAATTTGTGTTTGCCAAGGATGTGTTTATGGGATGACTATATTGGAACAGTTAATTAGTAGTAGTTAATTTTTTTGTTAAGCATTTTATTAGTAACAATTAAACTAGTTATTTTATTTTTATTTTGTATGCATTTTACTTACAGTATATGAATAAAGTATGTTTTGTTTCAAGTCTGGTAGTTTGACCAATCAAATTGCATCCAGAACACAACGTCTTATACATACCTTTAAAATAAGAAAAAAAATAGGGCCCAGACTATCATCTGAATATATTTTGAGGTGGTTTAGTCTGGTCCATAACACAATCAAGCAGATTGCTTAGGCCTGGACAGTGTTGACCTGTCCACGTATTAATGGGGCTGCACCCATCCAAGCACATCATGCTCAACGTCACCTACAGTTCATTGGTCAGTTTCTCAAGCTTCAAACTCATACTGCCCCAGGTATACTTCGATTGGCTGTGAGAGACGTCAATCAGAGAGCCCACCCACTCTCCCCATTCTCTTCTACACCATCCACAATTCAATCACCAATTAACAATCTACAGGATAATAACAAGCTCCCAACATAAACAGAGAATTCAACAATAGGAAATAAGTAAGAATCTTCAGGGATAGTAGGATCTTCAGGCACTCTGCACCTCCCAGATAATTACAACTCACCTTCTTATATTCAGGAATGAGCCATCAACAAAATTCAGCCTGGAAATCAGAAGGGAAATACTTCCAATATATCCAACACACAGCTCCAGTCTAACCGTTCAGCACAAAACACCGAGTAAACAGCTCTCTCAGCTGGATCTTCTCACACAGCATAGGGGGCATTTCCACCTCTGATTGCCCACAGGAGAGTCAGACTGCCTGAAGACTGGTGTGGATATTATGGGATACAATTTGTATAAAAGCTGCTCCTTCACTCACCATCTCCTCAGTCCCTATAGGAAGTGAACCAGCTCTGGAAAAGGAAAAGGAAGAGGAAGAGGAGGGAATGGGCAGGGTGAGTGGGCTCTCTGATTGACGTCTGTCACAATCAATCCAAACATTTCTGAAGCAACATAAGTTTCCTGAAACTTGGGAAACTGACCAGTGAAATGAAGGTGACTTTGAGCAGCAAATCAGGTGGAGATTTCAATTTCTCATTATCCCATCTGAATAAATCCTCAGTTGTTGCAGCTGCTGTCTCAGTTCCCCTGTAAACATTTGACAGAGATTTCTAATGTGGGAATATCATTGTTCATCCTGAGAGCATTTCAAACTGACAACATCAGTGTGGGATGTGTATCCTCGAATGTGATTGACAGCACGTCAGAAAAGGAAAGTCCCAGCATCCAAGGCAGTGCTGCTGTGACGTTATAACTCACTCAGAGACAGCCAGAACTGCAGATGCTGGAGTCAGAGATAGCAAAGTGTGGAGCTGGAGGAACACAGCAGGCCAGGCAAAATCAGAGGAGCAGGAAAGTTGACATTTCGGGTCATGACGCTGATGGGATTAGCACAGAGAACAGGGAAAAATGAGAAGGAAGAGCAGAGAAGTAACCGAAAAAGGAGACTGAGCTTGAGGAGCCATTGTTCCTCTGACTTATGGAATGATTGCATTCCGAGAACAATACATTGTTCAGAGAGTAACACAATGCCTAGAGGAGTGACTGTTTAGTTGGGGAGTGACTATGATTTGGAGACTGACTCCAGGATGACCAATACTAAGAAAACAAAACAATAGTCATTTAGACTGTTGACCCGTTGAATCAGGAAGCAGGGGATGGGGGGCCACTGCTAGTGTGATTATGGGGAAAGTGCTGTTGAGGGGGATGCTCAAAGCAGATGTTAGAGCTTGTTTCTGATGAAACTGTAGTCTGCCATTGCATAACTTGGAATTATGCTTTTGGTCCTCCTTAAGCTATCTAAACAGAAAGCAGCAGCAGCAGTAGCACCAAATGTGGGGATGTGACCTTCTCCTCATCAAACGTTCCCAGGATGAACTCAAAAAAGACAAATCTGTCAGCACAGGTTATACAAGTGGATGCATCTTCATTAACCGTTATCTGCACACAAACACAATAGTCACAGTCGACATGGCAGTCACTCTCCTATTGGTTCTGACTTGGGGAATGAGACTTTGACGCAGGACTGGCAATTGGAATCACGGACTAACACCCTGCTCAAGCCACTACCTATACTTAAGGAATGACTGTGACTTGGATATTGACTTCAGGGCAACCAACTCTGAGGAAATAATATTGAAATGAAAAATTCTGCAAATGATAGGATGTCAGGTTCACAGAGTTTCTCTTATAACCTCTCCACTTTTCAGTCAAGTCAGAAAGAGATGCAATTCACCAGTGGACAAATCAGAAAACTCGCTCTAAAAGGAATAGCAAGCAGAAAGCTTCATGAGTGACAGAAATTATTTGACGACTGTGCCAAGGAGCAGTACACCTCATATCTCCAATATTAACTAGCTCAGGAAGTTAATGGAGGACAGGACTTTCAGCGCCAGTGAGGGAGATCTATTAGAAACTGGGAGCCTCAAACCTTTATAATTTTACTCCATGGTCTTCAGAAAACAATCTGTCACCAGTCACAGAAAACAACTATAGCTATCTCTTATCTCTCTGTAGAAAGTAATGACAGGTTTTCCATTTAACCAGGTTGATGGAAGCCAGGTTTAGATGATAAATGTGTGGATAGTAGTGAACTCTGGCATGAACCCTGCAACTACAATGACACAACGTTGCCGAAGCTCCAGGCTACTGCTCACACATTTGAACCAGCCTAAGTAAATTAATGAATTGATATAGTTTCAACCAGATTGTGTTGGTTAGGTGTATAAGATCAAACACAGCCTTATAGGTTATAAATGTATGGACCATTTATCAAGATCCCTGCAAGTCCATTTCTGTTCCACCCTGCATGAGGCATTGTAAACTGTCATGAATAAATCATTGCAAATAACTGAAATTCATGCCAAAATTACTGGTTTTGTAATAAATATTGACCACATTTCTTTCCTAAACTTAATTTGACAATGGACATCTTTTCAATGCCCTGATTGGTTCACCTTTCAGTACTGTGATGGAATAATCAGTTTGAACATGTTCTCGTGCACATGGCGGAGTAATGTACGGTCAAAACAATCACTGACTTGACCAAAGTCTATCAGTTCAGGAAATCAGCTCAGAGAAAACAATCACTCTGAAGGGGAAGTGGAAATGTTTGTGAGAGAATCATGGGGAAAGGAGATGGTGGTTAATGTTTTGGTACTTGAGGATGGAACTGGCCAGCAGTGACCTCTCGCAGTGGCAGGGAGTGACCTCTCAGAGTGGCTTGGGCTGATCTGTAGTAGTTGTCTGGGAAATCCATAGGAATGGTTTATAAGTCAAGGGGGGTGATCTGTAGATGTCAGTCGGCACAATGTATGGGGTCACTGGGTGCAATATAGAGGACAAAACAGCTCAGATAATTTCTTTAGTGCACAACCTCATAAACTGAGATGCCAGATCAGAAGAGATGGGCAAACTTTATTCTCTCATAAGAATTGAGAAAACTTATTAAAATTCATTCATAAAAACTCATCATGAGTTAAACCTCAAAAATAAAAATGTATATCAATTCTGAAATTGACTGGAAAACAAAGGACAAAATAATTATTCACATTGAAAATAACAGAATCTGAACATCACATAACAACAGTTCTCCATGAGCTGTGTAAGAGTGTGAGTGTACTCTCCCCAAGTCCAAGATGTAAAATCCAGAATTGGGTACATTCCCTCCTACCATGTTCTGTACCTGGAGACCAAACTAACCAGGGATTCAGCTCTGAGTCCACAGCTCAAATCCCTTACCTTACTGCTGAAATTACCAAGAAAGTCAAAAGGACACATTGACCATAAAATCTCATCAACAGATTATTGGTTATTACTGACACACTAACATGGGGATATAATTTTTCTGGTGGGAGAACAATAGACATTGGACACTGACCATGTCTCTATAAAAGCTGTGTCCATAACTTGCATGTTATGGTGATCATTAGAGCAGATTTCAGTGAAGAAAGAGCCATTCAGCAGAGTGTGGCTGCACTGGCTCTTCAAATGAGCATCATTACCTTGCCTTTGCTCCATACCCTTGCATGTTATTTTTACCTACATAATCATCCAATGCCCTCTTGAATACCTCAATTGAACGTACCTCCACCAGACTGCCAGGCTGTGCTTCTCATTCCAGGAGCCATTCTTGTAGATTTTCTGCACTCTCGCCAATGAGTTCACATCCTCCCTATAATGCAGCAACCATACACAATACTCCAGTTGAGGTCTAACGAACATCTTCTACAAGTTCAACATTATCTTCTTGCTCTTATAGGGATATTGCATACTTTACTTAATGTTCTCCACCTATCTGGCCACATTCAATGATCTTTTCACATAAACATCCAGGTCTTTACGGTGTTGCATGCCCTTAGAATTGTATCCCCTGTTTTATATTGTATTTCAATGTTCTTCCTAACCAATGTGCACAACTTCACACTTCTCTGCTTTGAAGTCCAGATCCGGCCACTCCATTAACCTGTCTATGTTGTTTTGGAGTTCTACACTTTCCACTTTATGTAGTGAATTTATATTTTTAAACAATAATGTTAAACAAAGATTTCCAGATTAGAGTAAATAACAAACCTTAAACCTAAAAATGAATGTGTCAGCAGTAAATGTAAGCAACAATAGAAGGCAATGTAACAAAACGAGTAATGGGGCACAGCCACTGAAATCACAACATATAGGATCAGATTAAATGTATCCTGGCTGGGTGAAGGAGATGTTAACTACACTAAACCATAATCTAGAATGGACAGTTGTGTTTTTTTTAATGTTTGTATGAAGTAAGATTGGAATTTGAATAATAAGCTGCTGATGTGACCAAATGAGTGATATATAACATTTTTCTCTGTCACTTTAGAGTTTCACTTTGGTTTAACTGAGTTGGAGCTCTCCCTGCTTTGCTTCAATAAAACAATTGTTAACCTACTCTGTCTCCAGTAATTGATTATTAGAAGTAGCGATAACACTTGTCAGACACTACAATTCTTCCAAATTTTGTGTCATCTCCAAACTGAATTAAATTATAACCTGCACACCAAGATCCAGGTCATTAATACTTCAGGAAAAGCAAGGATCCCAATATCAATCCCTGGGGAACTCCACTACAAACCTTCCTCCAGCTTGAAAAATATTTATTGACCGTTACTCTATGCTTTCTATCACTCAGCCAATTTTGTCTCCGCGTTGCTACTGTACCTTTGACACCAAAACCGATAACTTTCCTCACAAGTCTGTCCCACGCACAAAATAATCTAAAAATTTTAAATTCTCAAATGTTCCTGTAATTAACGTTAAAATGTTTTATACTGAGACAGTTATATCTCTAATAGAAGAATAGATGTCAACATTTATCAGGTCTGTCCCAAAATCTTGTGAAAACCCAACATCTCCAGAAATATCTCGGACATTGCAGTAAAAACTCACATTTGGTGAGAAATTGTTGGAGAAATTTTCTCTGGAAGTGCTTTCCTGTGTTCGATGGAGAGAGGGTTAGTCCATCTCCTCAAACATTAAGTGAATTGCAGTCCCAAGCCCAGAAAGCTCCCCCTTCACTAAGGTTGTTTAAAACCTCGACGAGTACTCAACTCAATTCATCCAAACCGCTCACAATTCCGCTCTGGACTACATTACCCATGTTTCATATGGAACCCGCGTTTGCCTAGTGAGGAGCGGGAGAATGGAATCAGGGCGAAACAGCCCGCGATGTCTGACGGGAGTTGTAGTTCTTACCCGCGTGGCAACGGTTAGTGCCCAACGTTCGGGAGTTCGAATTTGAGAGCGCGCGAACTCGAGCGGCTGTCACGTCGGCAGTGCTGGAATTGGATGTGCGCACCTGTAAATGGGAAATCTCTTTCTTTTTGAGGGAAAGTTCAGCTTCCTGTGAACCTGAAATTATAAACCCACTAATCGAGACAGTATCCCTGCTCACAGTGACATTAAACATTATATTGCATAGAAGGAGGAACTGAAGCAAATCAGCATTAATGTGTAAATGATGTTGGGGAAATTCATGGGATGTAAGGTTGATAAATCCCCAGGGCTCGATAATCTATATCCCAGAGTATTTAAGGAATTGACCCTATAAAGAATGGATGCATTGGTGTCATCTTGCAACATTCCAGTGGCTGGAACAGTTTCTATGGATTGGAGGGTAGCTAATGTCACTCCACTTTTTGGAAAAGGAGGTCAAAAGAAAACAGGGAATTATTAACCAGAAAGTCTGACATTGATAGTGGGGAAAATGCTAGATTCCATGACAGAAGATTTAATAACAAAGCACTTGAACAACAGTGACATCATTGGACAGAGTCAGAATGGATTATGAAAGGGAAATCATGCTTGACAACCTCCTGGATTTTTCAAGGATGTGACTAGTAGAGTTGATAATGGGGAGCCAGTGGATGTAGTTTACTTGGATTTTCAGAAGATTTTTGATCAGGTTGCACATGAGAGAGAATGGGATTCGGAATAGTGGACTGACATGGACAGAGAAATGGTTGGCAGACAGGAAATAAAGAGTTGGAATAAATGGGTCTTTTTCTGAGTGCCAGGCAGTGATTGGGGTGTACCACAGGGATCAACGGGTGGACCGCAGCTATTGACTATATGATTTGGATAAGGGAATTAAATGTAATATCTCCAAATTTGCAGATGACACAAAACTGGGTGGGAGGGTGAACTGTGAAGAGAATGCAGAGATGCATCATTGTGACAAGTTGAATGTGTGGGCAAATGCATGACAGATTATATATATGGTCATCAAATTTAGGAGCAAAAACAGGAGGGCAGATTATTATCTGAATGGCGATAGATTGCAAAAAGGAACGGTGCAATGAGGCCTGCATATCCTTGTGCACTAGTCACTGAAAATATGCATGCAGATGCAGCAGGCAGTGAAGAAGGCAAACCATGTTGGTCTTCAGTGAGAGAATATGAGTAAAGGAGCAGGAATGTCTTGCTGCAACTGTAGAGGGATTGGGTGAGACCATACATGAGGTATGGTGTACAGTTTTGAAATGGTGTTATGGCTAGGGAGGCAGTGCAACAAGAATTTAACAGACTGATTTCTAGAATGGCAGGACTGATGTATGAAGAGAGACTGAATCGGTTAGGACTATTTTCACTGTTAATCAGAAGAATAAGGAGGCTCTAACAGAAATCTATAAAATTCTAACAGGTCCATAATAGGGTAAATGTAGGAAGAATATTCTAAGTGACTGGGAGCCCAGAAGCAGGGGTCACAGTCTAAGGATAGGGGGTAGGCTATTGAGGACTGAGATGAGGAGAAATTCTTCACCCTGAGAATGGTGAGCCTGTGGAATTCTCTGTCACAATGTTATTGAGGCCAAAACATTGAATTGTTCTCAAGAGGGAGTCAGATAAGTTCTTAGGCTAAAGGGATCAAAGGGTATGGGGAGAAAATGGGAACAGGGTACTGAGTTGGATGATCATCCATGATCATATTGAGTAGCAGAACAGATTTATGTAAATGCAAAGAGAATGATCCTCTCTAAGATAAAAAAAAAGACAAGACTGTTGTGTCTGTGTGGTGTGGGGGAAGTCAAATGGAGATCAGACATAATGAGATTCTGAAGTTATGTACCTCGAGGCTGAAGTGGAAAATGAGGTGTTGTGCTTCATTGGAACATTGCAGCAGGCCCAGAACAAAAATAATTGCATAAGAGAAAGATGGTTTATTGAAACGACAAGCAATTGGGAGGCTAGGGTCATTCTTACAGATGGAGCGGGGTTGTTCAGCAAAGTGGTCACCTGATCTGGGTTTGATCTCTCCAGTGTAAAGGAAAGCACATTAGAAGCAGAAAATGCAGCAGACTAAATTGAATGAAGTACATGAAACAACAACATAATCCTGGGTCTATAGCCACTTTACCTTTACCTTATTTGGGATACATCAAACTCTGAATCGAAAAAATAAAGCATTTGAAAATGACTCAAGCAATTTCCCAGAACATGAAATGAATCTTGGAAGACTGTGAAGTATCACATCATTATTACATGAAGGTTTGATCGGCTAAGGGAACTCAGGTCTGTGGAGACTCACCCTCCACTCCCTCACCATACTCAGGATAGTAGTCCTCCCAAACAGGACAGTATAAACACTCCCGATGGTATTAGTCAAACACCCGTCACCTGAACAGAATCTGTCCATGATTCACATCCACAACTAAAGCAGTGTCTGATTCTACCACATATGAACTCCAAAGAGCTGGCTCACTTTACCAACACATACACATACTCTCAAAACCACCATAAAATAACACCAGGACAATGATTATTGTAAAACCCCTCCCCAAATCACCTCACACATTGCAACAATCTCACATCCTGATTCATGACCAGTCCATTAACATAGGAAGCTGGTTTTGATGGGGAAGATCCTAGTTATTAGATCAGGTTGGTTTCAATCTCATAAGAAAGTTCTCTGGAATGAACACTTCAAAGGAATGTGGAATACATTTAGATGTGGTGGCCCCATACAGCTTGTTACATTGTCACTATTATTTACAGTTCTATAGGGTGGTCAGAGGAGTTCAGTGATCAAAACAAATTGAACTGTACAGACACTCATTAATTGCGTGGTCAGCTGGCTTTCATGAAATTTTTTTTTTCACTGCTGCCTCAGCTTTTGCATTTGACTGGGAATAATTTGGAGCTGATGTGTGGTGCTGGATTTACCAATCATTCAGGAATTCTTCCATCGTGAATTGAGGTCATTATCACTGATCACATTTTCAGGAACTTCATGGTGACTGAAGTGTGCTTTCAGACATTCTACAATGTCACTGGGAGTCGGTGACATCAGCTGCTCTAACACCCCAATGTCTCAAAAGTAGTCGCCTGTGACGAGATAATCAGTTCCAGTGAGAGTGAAAAGGTCTACTCCAAGATTCATTAACGGGGTGTCACAAGTCATGAACAGCTCTCTATCTTGTTTAGTTTGATGTTTATTACAAAGCACTGCACTGGCTGGTGTGGTCCTTCACCTCATTGCTCATGTTTGGTCAGTACAACACTTCTCTTACCTTTTTCAGACTAGACTTGGCTCCTTGATGGTTTGTGTTGAATGTGTTTCAGTATCTCTTTTCTCATGTCTTTGGGGATAACAACCCTACTCCCTTTAATGCAATCTTGGGCAATCACTTCATCTCTGTTTGTCCAATAATCTCTTACAGTCACAGTGGTGTCCACAATGGTTTCAGTCCATCCTTTCAACACAGCTTCCTGCAACATTTGATGAATTGCATCTCATTGAGTAATTTGTTTGTTCTGAAGAAGACGCCTATCTGTCAGAGCCAATGGCTCTGCTGGGTTAATGTTTTCCAGAGTATGTCATGCTGTTGCTTCTTTTTGAATCTGGAATATTTCACAATCTGCACCAGCATCAACTTTGTTCAGATACAGTGCAGCTCTCAATAGCATGTTAGTAGTATATATCTGCTTCCCTTGGTTGTAGAGATAGTAGGAACTGCGGATGCTGGAGAATCTGAGATAACAAGGTGTAGAGCTGGATGAACACAGCAGGCCAAGCAGCATCAGAGGAGCAGGAAGGCTGACGTTTTGGGCCTAGACCCTTCTTCAGAAAAAGGGTCTGAAGGTACTTCACTTCCAATTGATAGCTCAGCAAAATAAGTAATGTATCTTGCAAACACTGGAACGGATCAAAGTGGTTTGAGAGAGGTCCTGTGAATTGGTTTGTGGTCAGACTCCACCGACACTCTCTCTCACAAGCAGGCAGTGGTGAAAGCAAAGTCAATATTCAGACTCTCTTTCTCAATCTGTGTACCATGTTATTCAGTGTGTGTTAACACTGTGAATACAAACCCAACGGGTTGCCCTCACTGCATGGGGGTTGCTCCAAGTCCTGTGTCACTGACATCACACTGCAAGGTGGCTCCATTGTTGACATCATAATCCCTCAGCACTGGTGATGTCATCACTAGGTTTTTGATGGGAGCTTCTTGTTCTGTGTCCCAGTCCCACTGAACACCCAGCACCGTGAGACTGTGTACACCGTTACACACTGTGAGGATAGAATGGCAGGAACCTAGCTGGGTAGACTCTGTGTGGGCTCACTAATGTTCCAGGAGTTCCAACAACTGTACGAGTCATTTATTACACAGAGTTTCTCTCCTGTTTGAGTGTTAATAAACCAGACATATGCTGACTATGTGAAAGTCTTGTCACACACTTCATCCTCAAATGTTTTCTCTCCTGTGGGAATCAGCTGGTGCTGTAGGAGAACAGGGGAGTGGGTGATAGCTTTGTCACAAACAACTCACTACATGAATCCCATGAGGTCTCAGGAGAAATGTTATAAAAAGGTTTGTCAAAAATCTCACACTTGAACCATTACTCCCCTGCGTGGATCTTCCAATGAAGCAGCAGGTTCGACGACCTTGAAAATGATTTGTCACAAACCTGGCATGTAAACGGTCTCTCCCCTGTATGAATCCTTTGATGGAGCAGGAGAGTGGATGAGCTTGAGAACAATTTCTCACAGACCTCACACCTGAATGGCTTCTCCCCTGTGTGAATGCGCTGGTGAACATGGAGGTGTGACAACGTTGAAAATGATTTGTCACACACCTCACAAGTGAATGGTTTCTCTCCTGTGTGGAAGCGTTGGTGTATACGAAGGTGTGATGACATCGAGAATGATTTGTCACACACCTTGCAGGTGAATGGTTTCTCCCCCGTGTGAATACGTTTATGATTGCGCAGGGTTGATGAAACTGAGAATGATTTATCACACACCTCGCATATGAATGGTTTCTCCCCAGAGTGAACACGTTGGTGTACACGAAGGGTCGAAGACTGCGAGAATGATTTGTTACATGTACCACAGGTAAATGGTTTCTCCCCCGTGTGAATCCGTTGGTGTCTGCGGAGGTGCGCTAAGTCTGAGAATGATTTGTCACACACTTCACATGTGAATGGTTTCTCCCCTGTGTGAATACGCTGGTGTACATGAAGGGTCGATGACTGGGAGAATGCTTTGTCACACACTTTGCACGTGAATGGTTTCTGCCCAGTGTGAATTCTCTGGTGCCTTAGGAGATGAGAAGAATCAGTGAAAGCCTTGTCACAAATTTCACACCGGAAGGGTTTCTCCCCTGTGTGAATCATCTGGTGTGTTAGCAGATGGAAGGAGTGGGCAAAAGCCTTCTCACAAACCTCACACCTGAAGGGTTTCTCCCCCGTGTGAATCATCTGGTGTCTCAAAAGGGTTGTAGATGTTACAAAATATTTATCACAAACCTCACATTTGAATGGTTTAACTTCCATGGAACTGGCCTTGTATTAACAGCGTTTGTAACAGATGCACTTTATGTGTCAGCAGATCCTATGAGTCTGTGGAGCCCTCATCACACACCTCACACTGGAAGAGCCTTTCCCCTGTAGGAATGAGTCAGTGGTTCATGAGGCTTAATGTCTGAAGTTCTCACCACACTTGGAGCCACTCACACTTCTTCCCAGCCTCACCCTGATGATCACCCACAGCCGAACCTTCAGAAAGGCTGGTTCTGATGGAAGGCTCCACACCACTGACCAGTTTCAGATCTGATGCTATGTCAAAGCTCCCCCGATCCAATTGGTTTCCAGATGATGGTTTCACTGCCCAACCTTCTCTGTGTTGTGCAATACTGTGAAGGGACTGGATGTCTTCC